CTCTGATTGTATTTGAAAATCGTTAACCAATTCTTCATACTTTTGGCGAAGTGGTGTTTTATTAATTTGTTATTTGATATTATTAGGGTTCTTTCCTGGTATTCAAAAAGGAAAAATACGTGTCGATCAGTTATATTTTTCAATTTATCAAACAATTTGGCCGCTGAATCTCTGATTCTGGTAGAGCGCCATCTGGCGAATAAAATTGTAACTAAAATCAATTTCGAATTTTACATTATTTGCCATAAAAAATCCCATTGCATCCTGAACACAATGGTGTTTACCGCATTGCTCTAGCGCGAATATTCGCGGAGTTATTAATTTTTAAAGTTGTGCGGGACTTTTGGATCACCCTGTAGTATAAATAATGAAGTAATCTTTAATATGCGTTCAAAAATATATTATGCAAATATACCGGGAGTTCCAATATATACCGCAACAATCGTTACAAACCCTTTCTTATCATGTAAATTAATTAAAGAGTTTTCAAATTCATTTGCAACCACTATATCAGTACAAACTACTAAACGGCAAATTATTCTTTCAAATATTTATATACACCCTAATAAAATGGATACCTGTCATGTTCAATTCCTTGATAAATTAATTAAAAATTTTAACACAAATCCATTGATTTTAGCTGGAGATTTTAACGCTCGAAGTCAGATGTGGTTTGATAATATTATTAATCAAAACGGTAGAAGACTTCAACCTATAATTGATTTTCACAATATGCTCATACATAACAATCGAAACAAAACATGTCGAGGATTAAGTATAATAGACCTTACTATTACTAATAGTCATGCTCATGTACTTGTTAATGGATGGAAAACGTTAAATCTTTCGCAAATCACAGACCATCACGCAATCTCATTCGACATTAGTCTGGAAACAGAAAGTTTATTACATGAAAATAATTCTACATGGTATTTTCAAGAAAAAAGAGCCAATTGGCAAAAATATGAGCAGGCAATCAATGTGTCTAGGATAAATGAGGCAATGATGAAATTAGGTAAAATAGTAAATAAAAACGATATAAACTGTGTAGTTTCTCTCATAACTGACATATTAATTGAAGCTGCATATGCATCTCTACGATTAAAACCAAAATATTTAAATAATAATCCATTTAATTGGTGGACGGATGAACTGGAACTTTTTAAAAATCATTTTAAATATGTTCGAAATCTATATTATCGGGGTAAACGGTCTAATAGACAGCTAGTTGATGAAAAAATGTATAAAGAAATACGAAATAAGTATATGAATATTATTGAAAAAACAAGAAATGTAAGCTGGAGGGTATTCCTGGAGGAAGTTGAAAATACATCTCCTTTTGGTAATACTTACAAAACTTTTAAACAAAAAATTTCTCCTAGGTCTTTTGATTTACCAATTCTAGATGTATCTCAAGATGTGCTCGAATCAGAAATGAAAAATCTTTTATCTTCTCTATTTCCGAATGACTGTCAATCTTCTGACACAAACTATCATAAATTAATCAGAGACAAGAGTTATACTTTTTCTAATGATAAAATCATTTATTTTGATAATATTCAAATCTGTTCAATAATTAAAAAACTTAAAAATGGCAAGGCTCCAGGAATAGATCATATAAGCAATCAGATGATCAAAACGGCAGTTCATCATATATCTCCTGTGTTAACAAAATTGTTCAATGCTTGTATGGGACTTAATTATTATCCGGAGGCCTGGAGAAAGTCAGCAGTAATGATTATAAAAAAACCTAATAAAGAAAATTATAAAGATCCGAAAGCCTACCGCCCTATAAGCTTGCCTTCTAATTTAGGTAAAATTTTTGAAAATCTAATTCATATTGAACTTTTAAATCATATTAATAGTAATAATGTTATGCATCCTGCTCAACATGGATTTACACAAGAAAAATCAACAATCTCTGCTTTACAAGAAATAACTAAATTAAGTCTTCTGAAAATAGAAACAGAAAATACGGCAATAGTAACAGTGGACATCAGCGGAGCTTTCGACAACGCATGGCATCCGGCAATTCTCCAACAATTGGACAAGGCAAATTTTCCAGCGGTACTTATAAAAATAATTAATTCTTACTTTGAAGACCGGAGTGTAGAGTTTAAATATACTAATGTAAAGTGTATAAAAAAGATAAATAAGGGATGTCCCCAGGGTGGTATTATTTCTCCTATTCTTTGGAATATATTACTTAATGATTTCAACTTATCTTTTAACGAAAGTTTTGCTAGAGTAATTGCTTTCGCGGACGATGTGACATTTGTGGTATGGAGTTCAAACATCTATGATCTTCAGTATAATATTACCAAATGTTTAGTAAAAATCAAAGCATGGTGTGAAAAGGTAAAACTTTCACTAAGTCCAAACAAAACTGGTATACTCTATCTACATAACTATGAAAAATTGCCCATTAATTTTGATGGAAAAATAATTCAACCATCAGAAACTGTTAAAATTTTGGGAGTTATTTTTAAAAATCATAGACAAAGGAATAAGATTAATTTTGGAACACATGTTGACAATATAATTATGAAAGCTACGAAACTTAAGAATATATTATTCTCATTATGTGCACGTACTTGGGGCATTGATACTCGGCGTAGATTGATCCTATATAAAGCTATGATACGCTCTACAATAAGCTATGCATCAAATATTTGGTTTCCTTTTATCACTGCAGCAAAAAGATCCAAGTTGAATTCTATACAATATCAAATTCTTATTAGATGCATTCATGCTTATAGGACTTCATCTTCTTACATCACACATATACTAGCGAAAACCCCTTTACTGTCCGATTATCTTGAATTATTACAAACAAAGTATAATATGACAAATTCTCTCACAGATCGAACACTCAAAAAACCCCTTCAAAAAGAATTAAACAAACTATATCTGGATCTAAAATTTAAGTTTTATCTTTCTCAATCTAATGAACTGTTCAAGAAATTCTTTCCAATTGCTGTCCCAAATTTCATTTCTTCGGATAAATTCACTACTTTATTCTTAACTGGCAAAGGACCCTTCTTAAGTTTCCTGTTCAAACTGAATGCTATCCATGATCCAACATGTGAATGCCGCTTAGATTTTGAATCACCAGAACATCTTCTTTTATCTTGCCCTCTGACTAATCAAATTGTATGTAGATACTTTGAAACATTACCAAATTCTCTTTGTGTATATACTCTATCTTATGAGAACTTTGTTAAGTTTAGAACTATTTGTACAATAATTTACAAAACAATACTAATCCATCGTGTAAATAATTAATCATATATAAATAATACTAGCACAGCACAATAGTCCTTTGGACTTCGTGCTCTTGTAACAATAAATAAATAAAAAAAAAAATAAATACAATATTTTATTTACATAAAACTATGTCACCATTACCTTAACTAATTTTAACTGTAAAATTATTTTCTCTATTCCTGGCTTCTCCAGCTTTAAATATACTTAAACCATGTTCGGCCTTCTTCAACGGGGGCCATATGTCATAATATATGCTCTTCCAGGATTAATAAAACAAACCAACAGCCAACGAGAGAGAGATGGGCAGCTAAAGCGAGACACTTTAGACAACTAACTTACGACCATTTTTGGCCACATTCCTGAGGGGGCCGCCCGTCACCACCTGGCGACTATTCTGGTTAGCCCCCCGGTTGGGTACACAGGGAAAACAGTCGTTCAGCGGACAGCGCTCTCGCTACCTCTTTCTCTCTCGGATGGCTTCCAGATTCCTCTTCCAACTCGTCGTGTGATTATTTCTCTCCTCACCACATTTACCACTATATTGTCACATATATATATATGGAAAAAATAATAATAAGTGGATCAGGTGTTGATATTAAAAATAAAAAGGCATATCCTGACCAGGAGCACATGTGCTTTTTAGATGGCAGAGCGCCATCTAGCGGAACAGAAATCAACTAAACGTTGATTTAACCTGTTCCCCCTGTTCCCTGATATTTTGCCAACCCAATTTCTTGATAAATCAAGAAAAGCCATCCAAAAACGCGTTTCGCGCTGTTAGCGCTCCTCAGCGTGGAGCAGGTTGTACCATTGTGACCAAAAATATTTTTGATCCCAGAGGCTTCTTGAGAACCAAGAAATGGGTATTTAAGGCCACACTTGCGTAAATACGCTTAACACATGAAAAACAAAAAAAATCAAAAATAAAAAGGCTAGGTGTTGATATTAAAAATAAAGAAAGCATATCCTGACCAGGAGTACATGTGCTTTTTAGATTGCAGAGCGCCATATATATATATACTAGTAGAATGGCCCGGGCAACGCCCGGGTTTTACCCGAGTGCGTATATATTTTAAAAATGTTTCAATTAAAATACTATTCGTTACAATTATAAATTGGCGCCGTGGATGTCTCTTTTGTGAAACGTCCCGCCCCAAACTGTGTGTGTCTTGAAAATATAAAAATAAAAATGTGAACGGAAAAATATGTCCAGGGTAGCCTAGTGGTCATGGCATCTGCCCGGTAAGCGGAAAGTCATGGGTTCGATTCCCATCCCTTGACACTTTTTTTATTTTATCCATTCTGACCAAAATCTATCCGTGAACTTCACACAGACAGAATAAGGCAATTATATAAGTAGATAATCCAAATTGTGCCTTATCACACACTATTTTTTTTATTTGGCCTTATTACCTTGTGTTTATAATCTATGACGTAATGCCGGCGGCGCGCGCCCGTTGGCTGCCGGCGAGCACGTGACCTCCCTGTGCGCGTGCATCCGTGACTGAGGCCGATGAGGAAAGACGGTCGCGACTATATATATTAACTAGACGAATGGCCCGGGCAACGCCCGGGTTTTACCCGAGTGCGTATATATTTTAAAAATGTTTTAATTAAAATACTATTCGTTACAATTATAAATTGGCGCCGTGGATGTCTCTTTTGTGAAACGTCCCGCCCCAAACTGTGTGTGTCTTGAAAAAATAAAAATAAAAATGTGAACGGAAAAATATGTCCAGGGTAGCCTAGTGGTCATGGCATCTGCCCGGTAAGCGGAAGGTCGTGGGTTCGATTCCCATCTCTTGACACTTTTTTTATTTTATCCATTTTGATCAAAATCTATCCGTGAACTTCACACAGTGAACTTCACACAGACAGAATAAGGCAATTATATAAGTAGATAATCCAAATTGTGCCTTATCACACACTATTTTTTTATTTGGCCTTATTACCTTGTGTTTATAATCTATGAAGTAATGCCGGCGGCGCGCGCCCGTTGGCTGCCGGCGAGCACGTGACCTCCCTGTGCCCGCGCATCCGTGACAGCGGCCGATGAGGAATTGAGGAATTGAGGAAAGACGGTCATGACTATATATATTAATAATAATAATAATAATAATAATTATTATTATTATTATTATTATCATTAGATAATGATAATGATCATAATGATGATGCGCGCGCATCCGTGACAGCTATGAGGAAAGACGGTCGTGACTATATATGTTGACTAGACGAATGGCCCGGGCAACGCCCGGGTTTTACCCGAGTGCGTATATATTTTAAAAACGTTTTAATTCAAATACTATTCGTTACAATTATAAATTGGCGCCATGGATGTCACTCTTGTGAAACGTCCCGTTCCAAACTGTGTGTTTTTAAAATGTTTCAATTAAAATACTATTCGTTACAATTATAAGGTACTTATATATATTTAAAGGTTCTCATAAAAAAAGGTTACTGATTTAAAAGTTTATTTTATTTTATTTAAAGAAACATATTTTCATTTAAGTATTGTTATTTATTTTAAAAGATTAAGTAATTGTGCAAAACGATAATTGCCTTAAAAAGAAATTGCCTTAAAAAAAAAAGAAACATTCGCGGTGATTTTGTCTTGCATTCATTTATACAATTATTATATATATTGGCATCATATATTAACTTTATGAACGGAAAAATATGTCCAGGGTAGCCTAGTGGTCATTGCATCTGCCCGGTAAGCGGAAGGTCGTGGGTTCGATTCCCATCCCTTGACACTTTTTTTATTTTATCCATTCTGACCAAAATCTATCCGTGAACTTCACACAGTGAACTTCACACAGACAGAATAAGGCAATTATATAAGTAGATAAGTATAATAATAATAATAATAATTATTATCATTAGATAATGATAATGATCATAATGATGATGCGCGCGCATCCGTGACATGACGGTGGAAAGACGGTCGTGACTATATATGTTGATAATAATAATAATAATAATATAATAATAATTATTATTATTATTATCATTAGATAATGATAATGATCATAATGATGATGCGCGCGCATCCGTGACTGAGGCCGATGAGGAAAGACGGTCGTGACTATATATAGGGATAATAATAATAATATAATAATAATAATTATTATTATTATTATCATTAGATAATGATAATGATCATAATGATGATGCGCGCGCATCCGTGACAGCGATGAGGAAAGACGGTCGTGACTATATATGTTGATATTTAATATAGAAACATATTTTAATGGTATCTTTATTTTTTTATCTATAGCTGCTGCGCCCAAAATTTGAATTCTATTACCTATCAAAGGGATATATATATAAGGTCTCACCTCTATACCAATATATCTCAATATACTCCCGACAAAATTTCTAACCCAAAAGAGTTTCAAATATTAAAATCAATCTATAAATATATTGTTAATTAAAACATCTGCTGTTTAAGTTCGACTCCCCACTTGTGCAAATAAGTAGCTAGCAATGAACCGTTGAGAAAGACCAATTAGGCCTTCGAAATATTTCACACAATTATTTTATCAGATAGAGAGTGTAAAATTATATCAAAAACATTATTAGAAACTATTTATTTGAAATCCACCGTGAGCTCTCAATGACATCTCTACAGGACAGCTCGGAGCTTCACTGAATGTAGAAATTAATTTAGAAGTAAATATATATATATACAACGTGTAATCAATAATTTCCAGGAATGATACTGGATCACGTAAAATATTCAAAATAATGAAATAATTTTATAAGGACCTCATAGATAAAACTTATCAACATGTAGAAAAAAATAGATCACACAGACGTACGCGCTCACGTTTTTTTTTTTTTCGAATTAAAAGGCTCGAGTATATCAGAACATTTTCTAAGTTCAGTATGGACTGTATCGAAAAACTGCGAGTCTGCATAGAGTTTTGCTTTAAATTAGGGAAAACAGCTTTCGAATCATATCAAATGTTGAAGCAGGATTTTAAAGAAGATGCCCTATCACAATCGAGAACATTTGACTGGTTTGCACGATTTAAAGCTGGTCGAACAAGCGTCAAGGATGATCTACACACTGGCAGACCTTTATCGATAAGAAACCCCGAAAATGCACTCAAAATCTAGTCATCGACCAAAGAAAACCTTAGAATAACTATCAGAGAGCTATCAGAAGACTTGGATATCTCATTTGAAACATGCCAAACCATAATAAAGAAAGATCTGCATCTTAAACGATCCCCGGCTAAATTCTTCCCACATCTCTTAACGAATGAGCAGAAAGAGCATCGCAAAGAAACGTGCAAAAACATGGTCGAAATGTTTAATTCTGATCCCCATTGGCTCAAAAATGTTATCACGGGAGATGAAACATGGGTGTACGGATATGATCCCGAGATTAAGAGGCAATCAAGCCAGTGGCTAGAGCTTGATAACCAAGATTCAAGAAAGCAAGGATGATCGAATCGAAGCTTAAGTGTCTTCCTATCACTTTCTTTAATGTAAAGAGATTAGTACACTATGAATTCGTGCCCGAGAGTCAGACCGTTAATCAACATTAGTATATTGATGTATTGAAACGTTTAAGGGAGGCTGTGCGTCATAAACGACCCGAAAAATGGCATCAGAAAAATTGGCTCTTGCATCATAAAAACGCACGGCCACATTCGGCCGTCACTGAACAACTCTATTTGGCTAAGCACGGAATTGCTTTACTACCTCAGCCCCCTTATTATTCCGAACTTGCTCTAAACGACTTTTTACTTTATCCTAAAATAAAAAAAAGTCTTAAATGGACGTCGATTTGACTCAATACCTGATTTAAAGGAGAATACGAAGAATATTTAAAAAAGCCTGAAAGATGAGGATTTTCAGAGGTGTTTTGATATCTGGGAAAAAAGATGGAACAAGTGTATAGATAGTGACGGTGATTATTCTGAGAAATTTCAAATAAAATTTTATTATTCTTTTGTATTTTTTAAAATATTTAGCATTCCTGGAAATTATTGATCACACTATGTATATATTTTATGAAAATAGAGCAATCCATATTTAATTAATTAGATAATAAAAAGGCATATATTGGATTTAAAAAAATGTTTATTTTGCCAATATTTCGGCTGGCTGAACGCCAACCTTTATCGAGGCATTACATCTTTTTATACACAAACTCTTTGGTTTGTGTATACAAAGATGTAATGCCTCGATAAAGGTTGGCGTTTAGCCAGCCGAAATATTGGCAAAATAAATATTTTATTAAATCCAATATATGCCTTTTTACTATGTATATATATTAAAAATAATGAAGGCATATCTTGACCAGGAACACATGTGCTTTTCAGAAGGCAGAATGCCATCTGGTGGAACAGAAATCAACTATTCATTGATTTAACCTGTTCCCTGATATTTGGCCAACTCAATTTCTTGATACTAGTCTATATATATATATATTAAGAAAAAGGCATCTCCTTATCGTGCAACTGAAAGTTGCTGATGGCTGGCGCCATCTATCGGAATAAATATCAACTATTCTCGTTGATTTTTAATTATTATATATATATATGGGGCTTTCGAGTTAGAGTAACGGCGTGTAACTCATTCGTCTACGTCTACGATAACTACAATATACAAGTATGCTAGAATATACTTGTATACTCTTTTTTTTCATTTTATTTTATTTTATTAATTAACCAGGCGCGATATTGAAATATTCGCGCCTATTACAGAGGAAACAAGCGGAACAACAAACAATTTAGAACTTGGAATCAAATATTTACAAATTTACATGCATTATTCGACAGAGTTCATAAAATTTATATAGACAAAGTGGCAGATGTAAGAGAGTTAATGATTTAGATCAGGGAACAAACGATGTCTCACTTCTGTAAAGTTCGGACAGTCATAGATAATGTGAAGTTTGTTCAGTTTCTCCGCAGGAACAATTTGGTGTTTCTGATAGACCTCTTTTATGTAGGCATTTATGGCCGTGTGATATGACAAATTGAGTGACTATAAAATTTGGATGGAACTGTGTAGGAATTCCGTTTGGAAAAATATTTCGAATTGTATAATTAGCATTATGAATGGATTGATTCCAATGAGTCATAATAGATTACTTGTACACTCATGGACAAAACTTAAGAAGGTGAAAAGTCTTTTATTTCGCCAGTTGTCTGCTTTTTTGGAGGAGACATGAGGTTGTTCACACTTGGTTATCTCGTGTGTCTTCAATAAAGGTCACTGTAATATCTTTCAGAGTTATTGTCTGAATTCCGATATACATGCTAAAAGGTGCAACTTCCTTAATTTTTGTCAATGAGTGTATCTTTCAGAGTTATTGTCTGAATCCCGATATACATGGTAAAAGGTAAAACTTCCTTAATTTTTGTCAATGAGTGTATCTTTCAGAGTTATTGTCTGAATCCCGATATACATGGTAAAAGGTGAAACTTCCTTAATTTTTGTCAATGAGTGTATCTTTCAGAGTTATTGTCTGAATCCCGATATACATGGTAAAAGGTGAAACTTCCTTAATTTTTGTCAATAAGTGTATATATAAATGAGTGTGTTGATTGGTTAACATTGCGTTATCAGGCAGACGTACCAGAGCGGCAGACTCCCAGGAGCACAGCGAACACGGCCACTGTCACCAGAGAAGTTTTCATTGCGACAACCTGCAAGAATACAATATATAGTCCCGTACAAGTTGTTGATACAAGTAAATGGCAGTTATTGTATCAATGAGGGTCATTAAAACATACCTGGATACAACTGGACTATTGAAATACTGTTTTTGTAACCAGATTGGCTA